TCCTCCTCCGCCTCCTCCCACCCCACGGCCACTGCGCATGCGCCTCCGGCGACAGCAAGCGCTGCGCCGTGCCTTCACCCCACGTCGGCCGCGCCTGCGCACTGCTCCCAGTTCCGGCGCATGCGTGGGGTCAGCCTATGGCCGGGCCTGGATAGAGGGCGTGTTGTTAGGCCAGCGGTACGGGGGTGGCCGTACGCCTCTGCCTAGCTGACCAGCCCGGTAGCCCTGCTGTGCGGGAGGGGCATGACGGGCTCCGGGACACGACTGCTCTGTCTGCCTGCCTGTCCCCTGGCAGCCCAGGCAGCCAGCCTGCCTGCCTCAGCCGGGTGGGGTGATGGCAGCTCCCGCGGGCCTCAGGCTGGCTCGGGGGCACGTGCAGTCGGTGTACGCTGGGAGCTCTGCGCGGCCGTGACTGCCTGGAGCAGGAAAACCCTAGAGGAGCGGCTCTCCCTCCACCCTTTTTGTACCGGGGCCCGTTTGTAAACCCTAAATTCCTAGAAAATGAGGTCTGGAAGGGACCTCGAGGCCATCTCGTCCAAGCCCTGCTCAGAGCTGGACCAGCCCCAACGAGATCATCCCCATTGATGGCCAGTCCCGACCCAGTGCCCTTCACACCTGCCCTGTTGCCCCCCAGGCACCCAGCGTAGGGGGGGGGGCAAGCGGCTCCTCACAGGCTGCAAAGAAAAAGCCATGGTTTCCCGTGGAAGCGCATTAAAAGAGAATCCATTTTTAAAGTTTGTTTGCAACCGTTTCATACAGCCTTGCAACCCACTATTGGGTTGCAACCCACAGGTTGAGAAACACAGCCTTAGTGGACAGTTATGATGCAGGGAGGTGAAAGCTTCTCCCAGTCCTTTGTGTGGTAGCTCAGAATCTCTTTGCTGCCAGGTGCCAGCGTGACTGAAGAGGCTCACTGGGTTACACCAGGGGGCGGACACCTTTTCTCCAATGCCTGATGAAGGATGTTTGTGCCTAAAAGCTTGCAATTAAAGACATTTTTTGCAAAAGTCTTGTGGGTCTAATAACCCACCTCTACCATGAGACCTGATTGCTTTTTCCTCTAGACTAATATGGCTGCAACCTGGGTACTAGACGGGATCCAGTAGTTCTACAGGTCAGATACTTCCCACCAGTCATAGGCTGCTGATCCCTGGGTTATAGAAACATGGGAATTGCTATGCTGGATGAGACCCAAGAGCCCTGTAATCCAGCATCCTGTCTCCAAGTGCCCCTTTTGCCAACAGGAAAAACATGGCATGCATATACCTTGCCTGCACCAGGTTGCAGCCCCTTTTCTGCCTCCCCCACAAC